ATAGTCAATAAAGCACAGGTAAACATCGTTCTGATATTCTCTGCTTTCAGCCAAGATCCACAGATATCAGCAATGATAACCCTCATTCCATGGCCTCTTTGGAATCAGGCTTGAACCTCTGGAAGTTGTCTGTACAATGTATGATTGTAGCCATTTCTATATTGCCTTCTCCAAATTTCTTGCCACAGATGAGTGTGTACCTCTGGTGTTACATCAGTTTGTTGCAAGATTTCCATTTGTGTTCCATCAATTCTCATAGACTTGCTCTTTTCCAATGCCTTCTGTGCAACTTGAACTTATCCTTTCAGTATCACTGGCTCTTGATCCTATGCTGGCTCTTGAAATGTTTAAACACTGACCATTTCTTTTTGGCACAATTACTCTGTGTATTCCTTCCACCTTTGATGATTTTCTGAATCATTCAACATTTTGCCTATGTTGTAGTTGTTGTTTCTGACTCATAGAAACCTGTATAGGGTTTCCAAGGATCGGCTGGTGAGCTTGAACCACCGACTTAGAGGTACAAACTAACCATGTAGTCCAGCACCATACCAGAACCCCTCCTTTTTTCTGCCTATATAATTTTTCAATAGGGAAAGTTAAGGCTTGAATTTTTTCTTCAGTTCTTTCAAATTGAGAAACACTGAACACGTTCTTCTCATTTTCCATGTTCAGATTTTTTGCACATTTCCTTCTAATATTTAACTTTGTCTTCTCAAGCTGCACTTTGAAATTTTCTGTTCAACTCTTTTACTTCCTCATTGTTTCCATTTGCTTCAGCATCTGTATACTGGAGAGCAGGTTTCAGAGTCTCTTCTGACGTGCATTTTGTTCTTTTGTTTCTTTCCTGTCTTATCACTGACCTTTTGCTTTCTTTCTGTATTATGTTATGATGCCATCACATACCTACTCTCTTCTTCAATTATTAGTGTCTAATGCTTCAATTCTGTTCCTGAGATGCTCTCTAAGTTATCAGGACTCCAGAGTAAATATTAAATGTTGGTAGTGGTGGTGTTAGGTGCCTTTGAGTTGATTTTGACTCATAGGAACACCATGCAGCAGAGCAGAACTGCCCTATATGGTTTCCTAAGCTTTTTGAAAGGAGCTCTGGTAGCATACTGGTTACGAGTCAGGCTCCTAACCTCAAGGTCAGCAG